TAAAAACATACGTGGAAAATGTTATGTTTCATTCATTTCTAATATTCAAGATCCACTTTTATGGTCTGCAGGTGGACCAGATCGATTTTATTTCACAAAAAAATATGATTTTATATTTGGCTCAATTGTCTCCGAACACGAACTCCCAAGTGAAGCTAAATTGACAGGCAAAGAAGTATATGTTAACTATAAATATCAATATGTGGATGAAGATAAATTACAGTATATACCATCATACAAGAAAATCAAACCACTCAGAGGACTTGATATTTTTGCAGGTTGCGGCGGTCTATCTAGGGGTTTAGAAGACAGTGGTCTTGTTGTAAGTAATTGGGCTATTGAATGTGATGAAAAAGCTGCTGAAGCATTTGAATTAAACAATCCYGAGTCAACTGTGTTTATTGAAGATTGTAATCATTTATTAAAATTAGCAATGTCTGGAGAAAAAACAAACAGTAAGAATCAAAACATACCACAAAAAGGTGAAGTTGACTTCATTTGTGGTGGACCTCCTTGTCAAGGGTTTAGTGGAATGAATAGATTTAATTCTGGCCAATATTCATTGTTTAAGAACTCTTTGATTGTTTCATTTTTATCATATATTGATTTCTATCGTCCAAAATATTTTGTCATGGAAAACGTTAGAAATTTTGTATMATTTAAAAGAAGTATGGTTCTTAAATTGACTCTTAGATGTATTACACGTATGGGCTATCAGTGTACATTTGGTATTCTACAAGCTGGTAACTTTGGTGTTCCACAAACTAGAAGGAGGTTAATCATTATGGCAGCAGCTCCAGGGGAAAAATTGCCATTGTATCCCGAACCTATACATGTATTCAATAGAAGAAGTTCAAGTTTAACTGTTCAAGTTGGTGATAAAAAATTCAAAACTAATTGTAAGTATGATGAGTCAGCTCCTATGAGAACAGTAACTGTATATGATGCTTGGTCTGATTTACCTAAAATACCTAATGGAGCAAACGACGAAGACATCATATATAAATCAAAACCGATTACACATTTACAGAAATTACTAAGATATCCAGACAATCGATATGCAGAATCTATATTGAGTGATCATATATGCAAAGACATGTCATCTTTGGTTCAAGCTAGRATGGCACTAATACCAGTGGGTGAAGGAAGTGACTGGAGAGACCTACCAAATATTAAAGTACAATTAGCTGATGGAATTGAAACCAATAAACTTTTGTATACCCACCATGATATAAAAAATGGTTATGGTCCAAATGGTGAATTACGCGGTGTTTGCATGTGTGCCAGTGGTGATAAATGTGATCCGCAAGATCGTCAAAACAATACAATTATACCTTGGTGTTTACCACATACTGGTAATAGACATAATAACTGGGCAGGCTTATATGGCCGTCTAGCATGGTCAGGGTATTGTTCAACCACAATTACAAATCCTGAGCCAATGGGAAAACAAGGCAGAGTACTTCATCCTGAGCAACACCGTGTAGTCAGTGTACGAGAGTGCGCCCGCTCTCAAGGCTTTAAAGATTCTTWCATTTTCCATGGACCAATTATCAACAAGCATAGGCAGATTGGTAATGCAGTTCCTCCACCAATGGGTAAAGCTATYGGTCATGAAATAATCAAAGCTATTGACAAAAAACCAAGATATATTTACAGTCCATTTATACTAGGGAACCATTGATAAGACATTAGTCTGTTTAAAATATATTTGAACACATCAGCTATGGTAATACAAGTTTTAACTCTTATTTTATTTAAGTTTGTGTTCATCTAGAATGAATACAGTGTGTTCAGATATTATAATCATTTGATATGAAATTTAATTTTAGTATATTTTTTATGTTAGTTTTTATTTATTTGGTATTATTGTATATGATTATTGATTTTTTTTATCGATTATTGTAATAATTTAGTTACTATTGATGCTTATATTATATTATACAAGTTTTATTTAGTGGTCCATAAACTTTAATATAAGCCTTCACTAGATTAAGGTGTCATATCATTTTTGTTTTAAACTTATTATCTTACATTTTATATTTATTACATTTTTCATTTTATATATCATTGGTTTTTTTTTTAATATACAATCATCGTTTATACTTAAATACATTCCATTATAATAAAAAAATAGTATTTTGATACAGAATATTGATTTTATTTATTTTTGCTAATGTCTGGTTTTATTTGTTATATTTAGAATAATATSATATAGGCATTTCTCAATATTTTTCAAAAGTATTTGAACATTAGGTATATAATGAAAGTATGTTTTATAAATTAATATTTTTTTTTATGTCTTTGATAATGTTTGTCAATTTTATTATGTATACTTACTCCTAAGTTTCAATTGGTATTTGGTAGGTTTATTTAAATATATTTAAATTAAGTTATRTATAAAATTACAATTTATATACATTTTGTCTTTAATAGGTGGTTAATCCAAAATTCCACCATATGTTTTCAGTAGATGTTATTTACAGTGAAATAAAATCAATATTAA